CATCATTATTGTTTCTGTTCCTAATTTGTTGTTATATCCCCCCACACACATACAGACAAGAATTGTACACATGGGCACTAGTTAGGACTTCATAGAGTCATTGAGGTATTATGGTGAATGTAGTAAGAAAGGTAAGCAAGAATGTATTGTTTTTGGTGTAAGGAATATTGGGGTACGTTTGGGTCAGTATTTGTCGCTAGCCAAGTTTAATTATAAGACATATGAAGACCGACCATCCCGATTCCTACTTTTAGCCTTGTGCCACATATTTTTTTCAAAAATAAATATTACTTTCCTTCACGGTACCTAAACTTTATGATTTTAAGTACAGTGCTGGGAGGCACGGTGGAGTAATGGATAGCAGATCGGATTGAGGAATCAGAAAGCCGAGTTCGAATTCCAGTCAAATCCATTACATTCACTTACGTGCTAATACCCTTTAGAAAGCTATGAATCCTCTTCTTCTCTCCCTCGCCCCCAGCTATTGGTAAATAGCAGGACAGACCGGGTTCTATAACCTTAGATAACAACTGATCTTCCGCAGAAAGAAATGGCAACCTACTGCGGGAAAAAATCTGCCTCGTTAGTCATGTATCAAAAGGTACATGATCGCCTAGGCGTGTATCACGCATGGCACATAATTGACTGATATATATATATATATATATATATATATATATATATATATATATATTATGAAATGGACAAAGTCCGACAATTATTTTAAGACATTTTTTATGTTTATACATTCTTTTTATAGATACAAATATTTAAGTAAATGCTCTGTTTATAATAAACAGTATTAAACAACATTTACCGGCCTGAATGTCCGATGTCCGAGAAATTTTCATAGAAAATATTCGTCCTCCGACAGGAATCGAACCTGTATCCTATACGGAACCGTCATGTAGCTTGACGTGCCTTAACCGATTTAGCCACAGAGGAGCGTTCGGTGAGCAAGGTCGAATTCACTGTTTTTAAACTTCAATCTTCCATGAATCTCTCACGTACATCCATATCTACTCATGGCGTAACAAATGTAAACAAATGACGTCACACATTATGAAATTGTCAAAGTTCGACAATTATTTTAAGACATTTTTTTGTTTATATATATTCATATCTATAAAAAGAATGTATAAATATAAAAATGTCTTAAAATAATTGTCGGACTTTGTCCAGTTCATAATGTGTGACGTCATTTATTTACATTTGGATACGCTTTGAGCAGATATGAATGTACGTTAGAGATTCATGGAAAAATCAATGAAATACTGATTAACTACACAGGCTTGCGTTTTAGAATTATTTACATTCTCGAATATAAATGTATAAAATCTACCGTGACCACAAAGTCAGGGATCTGTTTATATATTGATTGTAATATAGAATTGATCCCACACTTTATATCCGTATTGTAATTTCTTGTTTGTTTATCAAATTTTGACTAGCTATGAATCCACCTTTTCTCCCACCTGTGGGTTAATTAGTAAAACTTGTATCAGTAAATCATTATTATCTCAAAAAAAAAAATTCTTGCAATCTAAAAAGATATTTTCTGGCTCTAAATAACCTGTAAAGGGGTGATAAACCGTGGAAAACGAATCAATCAATCAATACGAACAATCAGAATCATGACAAATCACAAACTTACAGAAAAAAACGATGTTATTAAGAGCTATGATCACCTATATACTAAATGGGTGTATTTTTGTTTGGCAAAGACAAATACTTGTTCCAACTCTTTTTGAGCACTGTCTCGACAAATAATATGTCACCATAATGCAATGAAGGGGCTATAGGAATAAAATGTCCCTATAATTATTTGTATAGACAAAATGGTTACTCGCTTGATACGAGATAGACAAGAACCACTGATACCAGGCTTATAGTCTTAAATTTGATTCAACCCAGATTATGAAAAATATGTTAATAATGATCTCCGGAATTCGGTTATCCTGATTATGGGATTTTTTTGTATTTTCCCAACATTCGCCCACGCTGGGAGAGTCGCTTCTGCACTGACTCTGTAGTCAATTGCAGATTTTAATGGGCATTTTTCTTTTTATAATAACAATATATGCGTTGTAGTGTCATGTATATCCGCTTGGAATGAGAAATAGAAGAACCGATTTCGAATTTCAATCGGTTTCGTTACATTCGCTTACGCATAAATACCGCTCGAAAATGTATGTATCCATCTCTTCTATCCCTAGCTATAGGTTGAATAGCAGGGTAAACTGGGTTCTATAGCCTAGTTTGGTAACAAGTCTACCGCAGAAAGTAATGGCAACCTACTGCGGGAAAATATTCTGTATAGTCAGTCATGGTGATTTTCTAAGCGTAACGTAGATGTGGTAAAAGGCCGAAAGTATGGTAAACCCAGTGAGGATCGCACTCACTACTCAGTCGTAAATGTTCTAGCGAGACAAGCTTGTTAACCATTACACCATGTCGAGGTGGTCCCTGCTTAGTCAGTGATGAATCGAAAGAGACATGATCGCACAAGCGTGCATCACGTACGCTACTTAACATGACCCAAGGAAAATTTACTGGAATAGTATCCGGTTACTTCCAGCTTAAATTCAAAGTTATTAATTTCCTAGACCGGATGCATTACCATGTCTAAAGAGACCAGTTTAACCTGTTATTTTACCCATAAAAGGGGAAAAGAGATGAATTATATATTTCCTAAGGATATAAGACTTAACTGGGATTGAATTCAGCCTGACGATTGCGTTATATTTTTTTATCATTTCACTCCGGGTAAGGCGATAAAGCCACAAAGACGCAGAGGGAAACATTATTTCGGAAAAAGAACATAATAAAAGAACAGGATTCAAGGCGAAATATGATGACGATTGACGTCGAATTTAATTTTTTGAAGAGTGTAATTTGCAAGAAAGCAAGAAACCAGAACCGAGTTCCACAGACGAGTAGTGCGAGAGAAGAAACTATTAGAATAGAACTTACAGTTACCTCTAGCAATTTTAACAGTAAAAAGGCGAGACCTACACTTAAATCCATGAAATCGAGGTACCAAAGAAGAAAGCTCAGAATAATTGACATTGAAATAGGCGTGAGGGAGGACTATATTACGGTAGTGGGGGAATTATTGAAACCGAGATGTCAGGTCAGGACCGAAAACATTGCAGATGCTTCTTTCGATGTTGTCAAGAATCTTTAGATACATAGCAGAAGAAACAGGCCAGATTTGGCAATAATCAATATACCGATTATTGTGACTAGCGCGGTGATTCTCAACCGCTTTTATTTCGTAACATTTAAATGCGTACCCTTTAAAAATTTTGCTATGTGTACTGTGATATTTTCATTTACTTCTAGGTGTGCAATTGCCTAAAAAGGTCGAGAAACACTGCTCTAGTCGCATATCCATGTAATCTATCCCGTATAATCTTTCAAATATTGTGTTCATCTCGTTTGTCTATTTTCAGTTAAGTGAACACTTGGCAGAATGATATTTCCCCTTACTCGTGCCGGAGCCCGGAATCTGAATTATCGAAATCAATCTCAGACGAAGGTGAACAGGCCTCAGATGTCTGAGGCAAACCCGAGCGGGTCTGATCTATCTAAAACGTTAACCCACACTAGTCAACCGCGCGATCCTCTTAAAATTGCCACGGCGTATATATATATAGTGATTTTCCAAGAGTAGCTTAGATGTTGTACGAGGCCGAAAGTATGGGACACCCTGTTAGCATCGAACTCACTACTCAGACGTAATTGTTCCACCAAGAAAAACTTGCTAACCATTACACCGTTTTTATATATATATATATATATATATATATATATATATATATATATATATATATATATATATATATATATATATATATATATATATATATATATATATATATATATATATATATATATAAAAATAAAAAGTAGTAATGATACTCAACTGAGGGTCTGTTTGTCGCACATTCGACCAGATATGCAAGACATCGGTGAAAAAATACCAGCCACAGGTTTCACATTGAATAGTGATTTTTTTAAGCGCAGCTTAGATGTGGCACAAGGCCGAAAGTATGGGACACCTAGTGAGGATCGAACTCACTACTCAGTAGTAATTGTTCCTAGCGAGACAAGCGTGCTAACCATTACACCGCATCGAGGTGTCCCAGTGAATATCCAAACGTAGCTTAGATGTAGCACAAGGCTGAAAGTAGGGGGCACACAGCAAGGATCCAACTCACTACTCAGTCGTAATTGTTCTAGCGAGACAAGCTTTCTAACCATTACACCGCCTCAATGTGCCCTACAGCATACATATATATGTGTGTGTATGGAAGTAGTAACGATACTCAACTACGCTCAGCTGAGGAAGAAATGAGGGTCTGCTTGTCGCACATTCGACCAAATATGCAAGACATCGCGGAAAAAAAAACACCAGGTACAGGTTTCACAATAAATAAGCTGCATAAATAGTCGAATAGAAACATTGAAATAAAGTAAGTTCATATTTGTGTGTATTTTTTCCCGCTCTCACCCTTTCACTGTCGAAACTATTAAATGTAGCCGTCTCTTCTACTCCAATAGCTTCATATCTCGCACCTCTCGCCTGTGGAACTCCCTTCCCTATTCCAGTTTCCCTGAGAGCTATAAACTCCAACAATTTAAATGTAATGTCAATCGACATCTCCAGTTGCCTTGATCTATCGACTATCCCTCTCCTCATCCTTTCCTCTATCACTCCTATCTGATCTTGCTCCAAATCTTCTGTAACCCCTTGCGTCCTAGTGGCTTCCCGCCTTGCTTGGGGTGAAACGCTTAAAAAAATCTATAGGTTTATTTCATAACATTTAAATGCGTACCCTTTAAAAACTTTGCTATGTGTGCTGTGATATTTTCATTTGCTTCTAAGTGTGCAATTGCCTAAAAAGGTTGAGAAACACTGCTCTAGTCGCATATCCATGTAATTTATCCCGTATAATCTTGCAAATATTGTGTTCATCTCGTTTGTCTATTTTCAGTTAAGTGAACACTTGGCAGAATGATATTTCCCCTTACTCGTGCCGGAGCTCGGAATCTGAATTATCGAAACCAATCTCAGACGAAGGTGAACAGGCCTCAGATGTCTGAGGCAAACCCGAGCGGGTCTCAGCTATCTAAAACGTTAACCCACACGTTTCTGTCAACAACTGTTTCAACGCTGAGTACTACGGTTGTATGTACAACTGGAGACCCTCAAGAGAACCGTCTGATCCCTGCCCTAGTGGCTTTCGTCTGTATCACTGTCTTACTTTTAATCATCATTATTATTTTGGTCGTCAAGTGGCGGTCAGATAAAAAACGGTAAGTTACATTTTTAATTGTACAAGCATTCTTTTTGCGTTTTCTTCTTCTTAGTCTTCTTTTTCTATATGATGTGTACCTTCACGATGTGGACGATCATGACTCTCCCCAACTTCCTATCTTTTGTAGCTCTTAGTAAGGTTTGCCTTTTTGCTATCCTTCCTCCACCCCTGGTCTATATGCACAATATAATTAGGTAGGTTATTCTTTTGCTTTCAACATGTCCTATGAGTGTCAAATTCTCCAAGCCTTTTTTTCTCGATATGTGTCCTAGAAATCTCAGCTCCCTCTAAATATGTGTCCTTTTACTTCCATTTTCCTTAAAACATGCTTACTCACACGCTCAGTTAATGATATTCTCAGCATCCTTCTGTAGAACTATATTTCTGTTGCTTTGAGTGTCGTCATCATCTGTGAGGAGATTGTCCAGCTTTCACTGTCGTATAGGAGGACTGATAGTATATAGCTATTCTGCACTCGTTTCTTAGTTTCTAACAAAATTTTCCTGTTTCTTGATACTTTTCTTAGCTTTTTGAATGCATCTTTCGCTTTTCCAATGCGACTTCGGATTTAGGTGTCACATTTGGCGCCTTCTGTTTATGGCAACGTATATTGTTAATCATTTTCACTCTCTGTCTATTTACTACTCTTGCTTAATCTGACACACAAACTCTGCATTCCACTTCCCGCAGGACTGTGCGGTAAAGTGTGATGTCGATAATTACGGCACGCTAACCAACTGTGCCACACGGCGCATAGGATATCTATCTGAAAAAGAATAGTTTCTACATCAAGCTGGCCAAGACAAGATATACATGAATGTTCAATTCCCCATCTTTCAATCCAGACGTTGGCTCGCAACAGAGACATCTGGAGAGAGATTGTCAAGTGCTCAGTTGCACATCGACCCTACGACCACACTTGGTCATCGAACTAATGATGACGCCTTGTTTGACACAAGATTCACAAACTTCTTATACTAAAGGAGTGGCCAAATTTGGTTAATACAAGAGCACGTGCGATAAAGTTGGGATATTTGAGCGCCCCAAGACATGAACAAAATTTACATATGCGTTTTCGTTGCATACACATTAACACTATACGTACGTTTTAATCCGATTGGGATTCAATTCTTACCCAGTAAATAATTGCAAAACTTGAATTTTTTTTATTTACTTTTTTATATAAACCGCGATGATAAAATAAGCTCAGCCAACGTATTTCCACGAGCCGCATATTAAAGACCAAAGAACCGCATGTGGCACGCGAGCTGTGGTTTGGTCACCCATGTTATAGTATTGGGGGTCTTGACGCAATCACCTACTTGAGTATTGATCCGGATTGTTTGTGGTAATCAAAGAAGTGGCACTTACAGAGTGTCCCAATAACTTGCGCACCTCGATTCTCCTCTCTTTATATTCCCCCCCCCTCTCTCTCTCTCTCTCTCTCTCTGACGTCCTTTTATTTACTGTACTCTCAGTTCGCCATATTTCTTCCAATGTAAAAAAAAATAATGCGTATATACAGTTTTGTGTGCATACACCCAGGTTCTTCTTTTATATGCCATTTTCCTTCAGGACGTAGGCGATAATGTCCCGCTACATCTTCCTGTCCCTTGTAGATCGTAAGAAGATTTGTCTTTTTTCTTATTTCTCCCAAACTCTGTTCTACCGTCCATTTGCTCAAGCCCATCAAGTATGTTACGTGCTGTTTTCCTCTGCCTCCCTTTCTGTCAATCTGCCCCGTGCGTATCAAATTTTCTAAGCCCATCTTCCTCATTACGTGCTCTAGAAATTTCAACTATCTCTTCCTTTTCTTTTTGTTTCCATTCCCTCCAAAACCACGTCTTTTCCATTCCCTCCAAAACCTCGTGTTCTGGCCATGGTATGCTCAGCATCTTTCTGTAGGACCACATTTCTGTTGCTTCAAGTCTCTTCTTCATCCTTAAAGAGATTGTCCAGCATTCATTTCCATATAGGAGGGCAGATATCATGTAACAGTTCAGTATTCTTTTCTTTGTTGCTAACGAATTTTTTCTGCCTCTCCTTAGCTTTTGAAATGTATCTGTATTTATAAATGGGCGCCTATCATAATACGACATGCAGACCGGATCGTTATTTTATCACCGCCCAGCTATGGGTTAAATAGCAGGGTAAAATTCAATACCGTATAGAGCCCTGGTGAAGAACATATTCATCAATGGAAAGAATTATGGACGTCATAATGACTATGATCTTGACTGCGATCGATTTTTTATCATTTCACCTCATGCAAGGAACTAAAGCCACGAAGACAAGGAGTTACGGAGTATGAAAGAATACGAAAAATGAGAAACATTATTAAGCAACCAGAACAATAGAAGCGTAATCAAGAAGACAGTAGATACCGATTGACATTGCATTTAAATTTTTGAAGGTCAATGTTGGCTGGAAAGCATGGAGCCAGAAGAGAGTTCCACGAGCATAGAACTTACGGTTATATCCAGTCAGCTCAGTTGCAAATTCATGAGACCTTTCCGCCAATCTTGTATTGCGCTTAAATTCATAAAGTCTACGTAACATAGCGAAGAGTTCATCCGAAAAATTACCATGAAAGTATTTATAGTAAAGGCACATAGATAAGTAAGTAAATAAACCTCCCAGTTAGAATTTGATTTAAAGGATTAATTAATTTGTTTTTTTTGTTTTGTTTTTTGTTTTGTTTTTACGGCTTATCAACCTTTTGGGGGTTATTTAATACTGAAACACATTTTGAATTTAGAATAAATATTTTTGCGGATGAATATTACATTAACAATTTTTGAAGGTGATAAAAATCATTTTTCCAAATACAAGACCTACTTTTTAACCTATAGCTGGGGAGAGAAGATTAATTTATACCTTTCCCAAGAGCACTAGCGGATTAGTGAATATAACGAACTCAAGTGAAATTCGAACTCGGCTCTCTGATTTCTCAATCCGGCGTCTCATCTACACCACCCACGCATCCCAGTTAGAATTTGAACTTTCATTTTTTTTTTGTACTCTTAACCGTTAAGCCAATTTTGCACCTTCAGATTTTGGTCGAGGTTTAAAAAAAGAATTAGTAAAAAATGAACTGTTAATAAATTCTGTATATTTTAATCTATTAGGCACGTCGAGGTGGTGTAATGGTTAACAAACTTGTCTCGCTAGAACAATTACGACTGAGTAGTGAGTTCGATTCTCACTGGGTGCTTTCTACTTTCGGCCTTGTTCCATATCTAGACTACGCTTGGAAAATCACTATGCTAATCTATTGCGTTGGTGCATAATTATCGGACGTTTTTGCGCAATAAATATCGTTTGAAAACGCCTGATAGTTATGCACCAACCCAATAGTATTGAAAACTTATCTAATGTTGTATGTAACGCAGAAGAAGGCCGGAGAGTACAACGGCTGAAAGGTTTTGTGTATAACAACTAAGATCAACACGCTGATTAGCAAATCATGTTATAATAGTAATGAGTCTTTTAAAAATTATTGTCAATAAACTGTGTTGTCCGCTTTGTGCATTCTCTCAAAAAGTAATATGGCTTATGACCATATCACTGGTCCTCGTCGTACGATCCGCGAAGTTAAGAAACACCGAGCCTGGTCAATACCTAGATGGGTGACCGCTTGGCAATACAAAGTGCTGTAAGCTTGGATGTGCGGATGGTGTAAGGAATAACGGCTCTGAACAGGAACTCGACTCTCCTAGTTTCAATCCCAGTCGGGTTCATTATATTCCCTTACGCGCAAATAACTTTGGGAAAGGTATAGATCCACCTCTTCACCCCCCAGCTATGGATTAATTAGTAGAACTTGTATCAGCAAATTATCTTCAAAATATTTTTGCGATCTCAAAATATTCTCTGGCTTCAAATAACCTGCAAAAGGCTAACAAGCCTTAAATAAAGTAAAAAAAAAAAAAAAAAAACAAAAACAAATCAAAAAGCATCAAGGAGCAATAAATTTTAGTTCCTCAATTGATGATGACTTGAAAATATATTGCTTAAACATTTTTTTGTGTTACACTGTTTAACATTCTTTTCCTTCTATATAACTCAAATATTATATGATAAATATATTAATGTAGTAATTACAATAAAAGTACATAAAACGTGAATTTCTTAAAAAATTGGTCACATGAATTTTTGGTTTGGTTTGTTTTGTTTTAGGGCATATCAACCTTAATGGGTTATTTAATTCCGACAAGAGTTTTATTGCTGGTAATATATTTTATCTATCTATCTCAGTATATATTAGCTTGGTTTGGTTTGTTTTACGGCATATCAACACCTCAATGGGTTATTTAATGCCGACAAGAGTTTTATTGCTGGTAGAATGTTAGCTGATACCCTAACTGGTGCTACGACTTCGGGTCAGGGTGGACCTGGGAACAGCAGCAATTAAGAGGTGGTTTCACGTTCCTCAAAGCCTCCTGATCAGAGGCCTTGCTGTTGGGCGTAGTTTATCGTCATACCCAGGACGCGGATGTAGTTTATCGTCATACTCAGGACGGCAAGAATTTGTTAATTTTCGTCAGTAAGGTTTCGCTGTTATAAAGGAAACAGATTTATAAAACAAGTGAGTTACTGCCGAAGAGAAGATGGCTTACCTCGCGTATATGCCTGGCGTGCAAGACGAGTGAAGGAAAGGAAAAAGAAATATGGCCACCCTGATACCTTAATTTAAGAAAAGACACGTTCTCGAATTTAGGAGAAATGTCGAGAGTGGTTGGGCGTATGCAATTTTTTTTGCGAGATCAGCTCGGCATAAAAAACACCACGATTGTAAACGTGGTGCTGCTTGTACGGAGAGACTTTGTCTGTTGAAAAGAGGTTACGTGGGTCAATTTCACACGGTTACTACACTCATTCGTACATACAAAACCGAGGCAATACTTGAGAAAGAACATATCCACAAAACCAACGTATTTCTAACGCAAATCACTAAAATTAACCTTACAAATACTAAGTTAGGAATCTCACACAGAT